TGCCATATACTTTTTAAACTTTTTAATAATGATTGAGGGTTTTGACAGGTTTTATATCTTTGTTGGATGCCATCTGAGGTCACTCCTTATGAGACACACACACACAAATTCTCTTCTTACCCCTTAATCTTGGGTCCTCCACCAGAGGCCTAGGAGTTTGAGGGTTCTGTGCCATATTTTAGCTGTTCCTAACGTTACACTCTTCTGGACAGAGAGCTCTGATTTTGTTCCTGGGATCTGTTGGAGCCATTCTCCCAGCTTAGGAGGCACAGCCCCAAATGTTCCTACTGCCACTGGGACACTTTCTATACACTCACATGAACATACAAATACACACAGCCAGTTTACTTAATGCCCGTTGCTGATAGGGAAGCGACACTACCCATGCAGTCGTGAAGTGTCTGACTATGTAAATGATAGATTCATTTGCTGTTAGTATGTAAATGAACTCTCCAGAGACTTTTTTTTTCATTTCCTCCTTTATTAAAAGCTGGTATGAGAAACAATCAAGTACATATAAGTTTCTTCCTTCATATCACTTGAAACCATATACAAGTTTTCAGCAGTTACATAACTGTCAAAGGAACCCTTTAAAATTGGAGCACTAAAACATATTATGGTAGTTAGATTGTACAATATAAGTAACTCATTAACCCAACATTTGGGTTTCCACAAAACACTGAGTAGTAGTTTATGAATGGTTCACTGAGTTACAGTTCAGTGTGTCAACCATCTAAAATGCAGTGTGCTAGCTTGTGGTTTGTGTGAATATAGCTACTCAGTTAGGGCTTTTAAATTTAGGGCTGCCCTCAAGTGCTTTTAGAAAAGTGGTTTGTAAAACTTACTCTTCATAAACAAATATTAATTTTAATTTGCTGAGAAGTGTTGTATTTGAGCCATGTTGACTCTCTCAGAGGTTTCTAAGATAGTTTTTAAATGTTTGTAACATTTTCCCCTTCAGTTTCAAAGCATTTTAAACAAATAGTTACAAAAAAGGAATACTTAACTTCTGTTGTATTATTTTTTTCTGATAATTGTATTTTGGTCATTAGATTTCACCAAAGGATTTTAAGACATATCTAGGCAAGATCCTGATCTTCTAATACTATAAATTAGCTAGGTGCCATAGATTGGGGCTTGATTCCTGGCAACTTCATGAAGCCATACATATTCACTATCTTGATCTGTTTTAAGTTTCACATTCCAATTACTGTTCTAAAGAAATGCCTCCATCAGCTTCCAGCATCTTTAACCACCGGGGGTCCAACTACACTGAGTTCGGAATACATAATTCAGTATTTGCTCCACATTTTAGTGAGCAAACAAACCTTTTAAGTCTTATGTAAACCCATGCTGGTTACAGTATACTAACAGTTATAACATCAAGTAGGTGCTAAATACTCACACACCACAATGCAATTCTAATAAGATTGCTTCCAGTAACTCCATTTATTGGATTTACCAATAATGTGGATTGAGAAACTGCAACCTGAAGGAATTCTTATACCCAGAGCAAAACAAGATAAATAAGTCTGGTGAATAACTGAATTCCAGGAAAGCATCTTTTCTTTAAAGTTATAGCTGCTCAGGAAAGACAGACCATCCGCTTCAAAGCTGCTTCGTCTTTGCCCAAACATTGAGAAGGCCATAGCCTAGGCTGCAAATTTGGGGATCACGTCTATTTATGAAATCAGACTTTACATCAAAGCCCAAAAGCAATCAGTCCATCGATTCTCCACACCTGACGCAGCAGAAGCCAGAACCGCCGGGCATTTCCAGCCACAACTAGAGGCTACTAAGCTCTCCATCCCGAAACCAACAACAGGAAATGGCTATTGTCATTCTGGCGACCCTCGGCAGGGTGAACTGCTGGATACTTTCGAGGTCTTGATCCAGCTCAGCAATACTTGGGACCTTACTCGAGTCATTCGCCCCTTCGAGAGGGAGGGATGAAGTCCGGGAAATGTAATCCCAATTCCGTCCCGTGCCCGCCAGCAAGTAGCCCGAGTGGGGTCTTCCTGCAAGCTAATGCCCACCTCCTATGAATTCCACGTGCTCTTCCCTCCAAGCAACATTTAACCCTACCTAAATGGACTCTTACCTACGCTGGAAGAAGATACGAGGCGGTGGTGTAAGTGGCGCTGCTCCCGCCCGATATGTCCTCTCCACCTCTGTTCCTTCGGGAAACAGAGAGCCAACAGCGGCGGCGGAGGTTCGTGCGGCTGCCGGAGGCTCTTTATGAGAAGGGGGGGGGGGGAGAAACAAGAGGTGGGGCAGGCGCGTGATTGGCGGACTTTGCGACCATTGGCCTCCCAGCAAAACAAATCCAGGGGCCAGGCCCGAGTGCGCAGGATGGCAATCCCTCGGGATGGAGGCTGTCGCCTGAGAGAGCATTGCATGATGGGAACTGTGATAGCAATCCGAGGATAAACCCGGGTGGATGTGGGTAGTCGAGGCTGCGGCTGGATTAGCGCTGGGAGGGAAGGAAGCTCCGATACATGTTTGCTGAAGAGTTTCCTCGGTTTCTCCGGATTAGCGAGTTTCCTTTTTATACAAATCGCCCAAAGATCGCATTCCTAGTACAAACACTTATATATAGCATTTAACCTGGTTGACCGCAGTAGGAAATACTCCCGAATTTCTCCTGACTAACATGTTGGCCTTCCTTAGCAATTGCAGGTGAATTTTACTCGCATTTTCTCATTAAAAATTAGAATCAAATTGCACATATTGTGATATCCTACAAAGAAATTGGTTAAAAAAATCTTCTAACTGGAAAAATAGGGATAAATGAATCTGCATTTCAAGCTGAATTATAGTGAGTCATATTTTAGTCCTTTCATCTTACCTTATTCTTGAGGTGAATAGCTGAATACGCCTTAAACAGATTTTACCTATGGACTATCTACCTGTGAAAATCACCCGTTATATGCCATCAAGTTAGTGCCTATTCTTAGCAGCCTCATAGGTTTTTTTTTCTCTGTAATGATCTGTCCCTAACCTGTTCTTGTAGGTTTTCCAATGATGCATACATTGCCACAGTGATCGAGTCCATTCCCAGCATAATGTGTCCTAAGTAGGATAATATGAGCCTGATCATTTGTGCTTCCAGTGAGAATGCTGAGTTGATTAGTTCAATAATCCATTGATTTGAGTGGTTTTTTAGCCTTTCCTTTTTCCTCACTCCTTAAATGTGTGTGTGTGTTGTGTGTAACATACATGTGATATATATGTATTACTATTTATCTCACAATCCTTCCTTAATTAAAACAAATATTCCCGTTTCTGCTGTCCGTTCTTTAGAGGAAAAATAGTAGCTTCTTGAAAGAAGAAATGCTCTAAAAAAACAGGAAAGTCAATTTTATATAGTAAAACACCAAATCCAAACACAGTACATGAAATGGTTTAGGAGAAAAAAGCTACTCCCCAGTGCTGTGAATATATTTCACATTTTACTATATGTGTTTTTCTCAGCAATTGAAACCCATTTTTAAAAGAGACTAAAAGATTTCAGACAGTGTCCTCTGCTGGATGAAAACTAAAATTCCATCATTAGCTTGAGGCTAACATTCAAATTTAAAAATTAAATTGCCTAATTAAAGACACAATTCCTCATGTCTTCCTACTTCAAAGGTGACTACATTATCTTAGCCATCTTTATTATTTTAACAATGATTATATGGATAATGAGCATAAAGTATTCTTAGTAAATTAGATTGAGGTATAAATAATACCTCCCAAGGTATTTTAATACAGAATAAAAGCCCTGCACACTAATTTAAACATTTTCTATAATCAGGCAATTGCAGTAATATCAGTAAAATATATTACATAGATGTTTATATTGTTATGTATATAATATTTGAACATAAATCAAGCTTTACAATTACACTGAATTCACTGTAAAGGGTTGATGTGTTTGTATAAGAAACATGTTGCATATATTCAAAGCACACTTCTGATATTTGTATTAATCACATTTGTTATTAATAAAAGCAAAATAGCTCTTGAAACGATGCCTTGAAAATATTATCTGAAAATGCATAATGCTGACAATAACTCTCCTAAAGTTGCTACTATTGTCACCTAACTTTGGCTGAGCTCAAAAAGGCAAGCAAAATTGGAACGGGATAGTTCTTGGATGGGAGAGCACTAGGAAATGATAAAACTAGGCTGGATGGTGAAATATATAATCAGTGCTTTTTTTGTATTAAAAAAAAAAAAAGGTGCCGGAACTCACCTTGCCTACCCTACAAGGTTCCATCCAAAAAAGGTACCGGAACTCCGTCTTGAGAGTTCTATGACAAAAAAAAGCCCTGTATATAATATATAAACATTCTGGAAACTGCAGCAGCAAATCCGACAAAATCGGATGTAACCTTAACTTAAAAGATTTTGCTAGATGTAACTTGATATAATGCATCATTTTAGATCGGTGTTTCCCACCCTGGAACATTTTAAAGTGTATGGACTTCAACTCCCAGAATTCCTACGCCACCAATACCGGCAGCAGAATTCTGGGAATTGAAGTCCACACAACTCAAAAGTTGCCAAGGTTGAAAAAATACCGTTCTGCACGCGGATCTGGATGGCAGCGCACATATTCGTCATAAACGCGTAGTCAGTATCACCTTGGCGTTTCCAATCAAAAAACGTGATTCTTTTCCCTTTCTTCCTTTCCACGCAAAGCAAAAACCCAACTCTTATTCCTATTACCTCTTTCCCATTTCCGTGCCCCTGGGGTAGGCAACCTGGGCTCTTTTATGACCCATGGACTTCAACTCCCAGAATTCCTGAGTCAGGAATTCTGGGAGTTGAAGTCCATGGGTCATAAAAGAGCCCAGGTTGCCTACCCCTGCCCTGCCCTGAACGCCCCCGTTGTCCACGGGAAGCCGCAGATTCGGGCATGCGTGTTTGCATCACTTCCCGGCAGGTATTGGCCGCGCCGGCGCCTTGCAAAGCTGGAAAGCGAGAAGTTCCGTTGGGTCCCTGTGCTCGCCTTCCTGTGGCCACGTCTCCCGGAAGGTTTATCCGGATGCCTCTGCGGGCTGACGGTAACCGCTGTCAAGTTTGCCTCCTTTTCACCCTGTCTCGATATTTCGAGTCCGCTTTGGGCTCTTGATTAAAGGGATAGTGGCAGAATCGGTGTCGAAAGAAATCCGGGGTAAATAGAGGCCTAAAAGACCGGAGGTGTGTGTGTGTGTGTGTGTATGGGGTGTGTGTGTCCTGAGTAGATGGAGGAAATCGGAGGGGCGGGAAGAGGAATAAAAAGCCGAGAGTTTATAGCGTCTGGGACTCAAGCCTGTCTCGTGTCTTTTGCCCCTTTCCCCTTCCTGCTCTTGTTGTAGCAGCAATTGCCACGAATTGCCGGGTAGGTTCAGCCAATGCAGGTTTTGCTAGCGTCATCGTTCAGCAGTAGCAGAGATCTCTTTACCTGTTGAAAAGCTGCCGTGAATCTGGAAAAGACAGAGAAGCCCAGTCAAATAAAAGTGGAGCAGGCTTAACAGGCTGTTTATTGATAGTGTGAAAAATTAGCCTCCTTCTCGTGTAGAGGGAAAAAAAAGAGAGATAAAAGTTAACGATAGTTAAGAGAACAGGGGAGGGTATCTGGCCCAAAGTGAGGATGTTAGATAGAGAGTAGGAGAAAATCTTTGGCAGAATAAGATTGAATGCATGGATTGGATTTTTTTTTTAAAGTAAACAGAGAGAATAGACAACTTTGAGTACAGTAGACTAATACCAAGAGCTTCTGCAAATACCAAATGCATGTACAAATATTCTTATTTTAGCTCCCTGGAATGCTACACTGTTGTTCCATTTTCTTATCAATTTATCCTAAGTTAGAGGTGGCACCAAATAATATACAGTATTTGTAAATATCATACGGCCATGCCATTTACATGCTTACCAGAAATTCTGTTTTTGAACAAGTTTTTTTCTTTAAAGGAGAATATTTGTAGCTTGGGGTTGAAATAAGGGTTGATGCTCTCTGAGTTTGGTTGTTTTCTTGCAGATATTTCATTAGTCAAACTAGGTAACATTATCAGTACTAGCGTATGAGAATATTGAGGCTAGCATACCCTAAAGTTTTTCCTTTTTATGCAAAATACAACTGTTTTCAGGTAATGCATTTAAGTGATCAATTGTAAAATGTAAGTGATAAAATGGCAGAAGTTGATAAGGCCATAATCTGAGGATTTTTATGCTGCACATATTTATAATTTCTTCCAAGAGGATAATGAGAAAAGGAAGATCACTACACCCCCATTCACTACATATTCAGTTCCAAATGACCTGGAACTGTAGAGCAGAAGGAAACATACTGTATTTTGAACTTGGACATTGATTAGGAATAAACCTTTCAGAGATGATGTACCTCTGGCTCCCAGGAATAACATAACAAGGACTAGTTTAGTTTGGCCTAATACATTAATAAAAAAAATGTAGCAGCTGCACAGGGCTTATTTCTTTTTGGCAGAAAGATCATTCTGTCCTGAGTTGTAGAGGAAGGAGTGGCAGAACCTGGGGGTGGGTGGAATTAAAAGAGGGATCAGCCTAGAATCTCTACATAGCCACAAGTCCAACACACACACACACACACACCTTTGAATTCCTTTGATCCTTTCTAACTCCTAGCAAATGCTAACCATTAGCTGAGACTATTTTTGTGCATCAACATGAGTAGCAGTAAAACAATTTTAATTGAATCTTCAGACTTGGACATGATCTTTTACACTCGACTGATTTTATACTTAGGAAATTGTATGCATTTTGGACTTCCTGATAAGAATTAATAATAATTGTAATAATGTAGGTAACATATGGGTAGAATATGTATAGATTACCCATATAGTAATAATGCAGATAAGAATCAGAAAGGAAAATCACAATTGTTTCTATAGTTTATTAAATGAATGGATGTTACATAATTTCCTGCATTATGTTTGAAGCTAAAGTAAATTATGTCACAGTATTATTTTGCACATATTTTCTTGATGTAACTGTTTAGAAATGAACCAACTGAATTCAGCCTTCTCCCCAAATTTAACAAATTAGAAATATCCATGTTTGTTTCTTGTGTAGTTTGGGCAAATTGCAGAGACAGATTTCCAACTGGATTGTGTTCTTGGGCTTAGATCTGCATGTCTCCTAGTAATTGGCTGATACTAGCCAATTGCCTACTACTGTACCCCATATCAACCACCAGCAAGTCATTTGTACTACCAAAACAACTGATTCCTGTTTAAGGCAAATTATGCCTTAAAGAGATGCCGTAATCTCTTAGAAATCCAAGGGAAAAGGTTCTAATTTATGAGCAAAAAAATAAATGTGATGTAAATCAAACCTTTTCCATCTCATGCCTGACTATTCCACAGCCCTCTTCTAAAATATAGAGAAACATTTGCATATTTTATCAGCTTGAACCTATGCTTTTATCTTACTGTTGACATCCTACGGTACTTTTGTTTCCAGGGATGGTGTACTAATGTATCTTATCTCATTTTGGGCTGTCTGTAAAAATGTGGGAACACATATAATGCAGAATGGGAAAGGCAAACTATATTGATTGCATTACTACATTTCAAAGAACAGAAGATGCATTTTTTATATATATATTTAGTCTGTGACTATGTGCTATAGTTTTTCTGTTCTTTGTATTTTTCTTTCCCAGGTTGAATGTTGGATGATAAAATTCCATATACTCTTTGATTTCCATTATGTCTTGGTTTGCTGACCTGGCTGGCAAGGCAGAGGACCTTCTCAATAGAGTAGACCAAGGAGCTGCATCAGCTTTAAGCAAGAAAGAAGATGCAAGCGGTGTACACTACGTTAGTAGCCAGGTGGATGATGTCAGCGTGTATCCCAAGCCATATAAGGCCAGAGAGCAGCAAGGACATGCGTCATCTACATCAAGCTTTATCTCATCAGCAGCAGACAACATTAAACATCAAAAGGCAACAATTTTAGCAGGAACTGCCAATATTAAGGTAGCATCCAGGACCTCTGTGGAAGGATCTCCATCCACGGAAACAGCTTCTGTGTCCAGACCCTCTTTCCAATTTGTGAGAAGGAAAAAATCTGAACCAAATGATGAACTCCTGTTTGACTTTCTGAATAGTTCTGAAAAAGAACCTAATGGGAAAAAGGACCTGAAAAGGGAGAAGAGCAAAGCAGCCACTGTTCAAAATCATTCTCGGACTTCAAGTATTAGTTCTGTGTCAGCAAGTTCACACAGCATCAAAACAGGGGAAGAGCCTTCCATTCGAAGTCAAGACAATGGTAGTTAAGCATAACCACAGATGTTAAGGAATGTTTTAAGGATTCTTTTGAAGGGTGTTAGTGATGACAGGATCCTGGTCTGATATTGATGATCATCCAGTGCCATTCTGATTGTGTTGGCTAAAGTAAGATTATATAAGCTTATGGGTCCCAGTCCAGAATATCTCCTAAATTCTAATCAAAGCATCTAGATAGTTTGTTGAAAAACCATGTTTACCTATTCTCCAGATGGGTTAATACAGAAGCTCTCCAAATCCGCATCTGGGAACTGCACTCAAGGCACCAGATTGCAGATAAACTACTAATCCTTCATACCAATCCTAATCCTTCTTTTATAAATTAGCAATAATTGTGTGATTTCCTAATGCTTGTTTCATAAGCAGCATTCATATAAGTTATAAAGGGGTGGAGACTGGTCTCTGTGTAAATGATTTTCAAGGATAAAAGCAGGTGATATAATCTTACTAAATATAATAATAATGAGGTTAGTCCATGGGGAGCAAAGGTAGAAATATCAGGGTTTTCTATTTTCTTGGTACAGGTTCACTGAATGTACTGTTTCTATAATTTTCCAGCAATCCCTATCCCTTGAGGAGATGATGCAAGTTTAAATATTTAAATAAATTAAGTATTTAATCATTTGAATCCATACTGAGCGTGTATAGACAAGTCAGTATTGCATTACTAATTCTGAAGCTTTTGTCTTGTTTTTATTTATTTTTATTTCTCTAAAAGTATTGCTGCAAATTGTAAAGTGCACGATGCACTTCTGAAACTCATTTAAATTTGAGGCCTTACTTGCCTCTTGCAAACAGAGATATGGGTACTTAAAATAGCAATCCAAATGTGTCTGTTTATTAATATGGCACACAATGCTCCAAAATGTTGTATAAAAGCCTTTAAGTCTTCCCTAGGAATAGGCTCCATTTTACTACATTTCATTATTTCATGTAGGTGGCCATCTTTCCTTATGATAAGAATGCATCATATTTACCCTTATGATAAGAATGCATTATATTCACCCGTGCTGAACTTTTGTTTATCCCTACAATAGCATTATTTGCTAAATAAAATAAAAAATACTGCGGGAACTGAACTAATGAAGCAAAAAGCCAGGGGTGCTTATTTTAGTAACTGCTTTAATTACCTGTGAAACTACATAGTTTTTCTTTTATTTGTGTACTCTCAAAAGTGATGTGACAGCAGTAGGCAGATGGGTACTCTTGTGATGTTTTGGATTTCAGCCCCCATCGGCCTTAGCCAGCATGGAAATTGGCCCTGAATTGTGAGAATTATAATTCAAAATATCTAGAAGGTATCATTTTTTCATTTCTAGTTGTAAGACTTAGTTTATATATTACCTTTATTATTGCAAAGTTGGTTTTGTTAGGCAGGGTAAGATCCAACCAACAACAGGGGTTGTTGGCTTTCAGCATGCTGAAATGAATACAGTGACAGTTGTGATTTGAGGCTTACCACTTTGCATGCAAGTGCATTTATAGGCATTTATATGTAACCTGCAGTTTTTGCCTGCATTTTGCAAGATGGGAGACCTACCCAGCATTTGAATGTCTTTAATTTTGCTGGTCATAAATTAACAAGTCTTAATGTATGATCTCCTATATTTAAAATGTCAGACGTTTGGTTTGCTTATAGTATATGTGAAGTTAAAGTGTATCATGTTTATAGACATGCTATAATTATTTTGGTAATGATTTTTTAATATTTGTGAGTATAAGCTAATGTACAATTATTTATTGTGGCAATCCCGTTAAACTCGGTGGGACTTTCAGTAGCTATATAGTTTGTCATAGAAATTGAACAGAGAAAGAAAGAAAGGATCTGTTAAATATGAATCTCTTTGTATAGAGACATCTGATAGTTCCAGTTCTGGATTGGAGACTGATGTGGATATTAAAAAGGATTCACTGCAGACCCCAGAAATGAATCCCAATCTTAATCTTAATGATGGTAAATCACATGAACTGTCCAATCTTCGCCTTGAAAATCAACTACTGCGTAACGAAGTGCAATCTTTAAATCAAGAAATGGCATCATTGATTCAGCGAGCCAAAGAAACCCAAACAGGTAGAGTGCAGGTTTGGTGGGCTGCTGGTTAAAGAAGTCTTGTTTAATCTGTCCAATCCAAGTGGGAACCATCTTTTAAAAAATTAGCGGCATTCGTCAAAACAAGATGTTTTGTGTTCTATAGCAAAGTTAAATGCTAAATGATGACTTTGAAGTAGAGAATTCTGTATTCTCTTTTGTTGCACATTGGGATGACATTCACATAGAAACTTGTTAAATCGGGGATTACTAAAAATAATTTTTTTCCTTTGGATGAGCACTTTTCATTTTTCCCTGTATAGCCAAATGTATATGTCTCATTCTGTAATTTACTTCCACCTGTCTAGTGGTTTATTGGTACGTACCTGGTACCTTCTTATATGTAAACTTTTTCCCCATCCCTAATAATGCCATAGCTCCTAATTAAGATTTGAGATAGAACGTGGACCATGTTTCTTCATCTTCTCTTTTCTACATGAATTCTTCCTTTGTTTCCATTATTTGCTTTTCTATAGAACATTGTTTCAATTGGCATAAGCCTTGTCAGTATAAGCAGGATCTGAATCTGATTGATATTTTCAAAGATTACTGTCATTGCAAACCCCGTAATCAAATTCGGGAGAAAAATGGAAGAACTCATGTAGGTTTGTGGAAGAATAAAAGGAGTAATGATCATTTCCAATATGATTTAATATCCTAACCATAGTTGTTTCATATTATATATTTTGTGCATTCAAGTCAATCTTGACTCCAACTCCATGGAATTTCCATAGCAACCTTTTTTTGAAAGTGGTTTGTCTTCTTTCTAGAATTAAGAGTGATTGGCCCAAAGTCATCCAGATATTTTCAGGTTTAAGGCAGGATTAGAACTCACATTCTCCAATTTCTGGCCCAGTTCCTTTAACCAATACACCAAACTGGTTCTCCTACAATAGTTAGATGACTGGAAACATGACTGAATTTATGTATTATGCTAAGCCATAATTAAAGTTTATTTCTGGATTTGTTGGATATTTAAATCCAGACATTCTGGTTTAAGCATTATGGTGGAACCAGGACATATAGTCTTAATAACAAAGTACAATTTTAAAAAAATCCTGGCTTAGTGGGTCAACATATGAACCAAATAATTATTTCTGATTACTGACAGAATCATGTTGCATACATAATAATAGGGATTATAAACTTACTGATATTTACCAACCTCAACTTTATAGAATTAACCAATGCCCGGACAAGAGTTGAAAAGTGGAATGCTGACAATTCAAACAATGACAGACTTGTTCGGGAACTTCAAGCTCAAGTTGATGATCTGACTGAAGCTGCTGCTGCCAAGGATTCCCAACTGGCTGTCCTCAAAGTGAGATTACAGGAGGCTGATCAACTTCTGAGTTCACGCAGTAAAGCCCTGGAAACTCTGCAGAATGAAAAATCAAGGTATTCAGCATCCATCACATCACTGTATTATTGGAGAGATCGGGCTATTTAGGTTTAAATTTATTGGCTATTCATCCCTCTTGTTTGTTAAAATTATTTTTGCATCCTGGAATTTTTTTTAATTTATGCTCAGTGCCCAAATAGTTATGTGTGGATATATGTGTCTGTATGCTGATCTTAATTCTCCATATTAAGGAACATTTAATTTAAATAATATGTTAATAGGAAACGTATGGGTTGACATGTAGAGGATTCCTCTTTATCCTATGCTTTCTCTTCTTGAAAAACAAAAGGGGAAGGAACCAATTTTCTATTGTTTTTTTTCATTTGGTGGAAGTTATTACTTTATTTTTTCTGTGGATACTTTGCTTACATTCTGAAAGAGAGTGTAGGCTTTGTTCAGATTAATATATGTTATTCAAAGCAGAAAAACTACTCAGTTAAAATATAATTCCAGGCATGATTTAAGTATTTTCATTTCTTCCTGTACTCTTGTTTACTGCACCCCTGACTTTAAATGGGAAAAATTATGTTGACATATCATGCCATGAAAATAGAAGGGAAAGAAGGCATTTTAGAAATTCAGGTGGTAGGATGATTACTGCAGGGGTTAATTTTCATTGTGATTTAAAACTTCTGACTCTCCTTACCCAGCCCCCTTCCACTCCTGTCTTTTTCTTGTTTAATAGAAAAAATTGTTGACCAAATTAAAGTAATACTGAAAGAAGAAATATGGATTGGATTAAATATTTCAAAAATAATGTTTCTGTCATTGACTAGAACCACAGAGTTGGTAAAGGCCTTTTAGGCCATTGGGTTCAGCATCCTACTCAGCAAAATTCTGATTTAAAGTTAAGTTGTCTAATCTCTGAACACATTCAATTAAGGGAAACCAACCACTTTTCTGGGTAATTGATTCCAAACTGGTCTTATCTGTTCAAAAGTTGTTTTGTTTTTTTTCATAAGATTCCGTTAGAATCTGCCTTCCTGCCACTTAAATCCATTATTATTTATCTGTATTCTGATGAGCTAGAAAGCAAGGCTAGACCTTGTTTTGTGTCACACATCCTTACAGATAATTGAAAAGGGATTTGCATGAGTTTTTTTATTTATTTATTTAAAACATTTAAATGACCCACCCAACTTAAACCAAATTCTGGACATCCTTATAACCTTATCCTTATAACCCAAGGATAATATATATCTACAGTATATCTATATAAAACAAAAGCTGTAACCCAATACCGGCACTGATGTTGGGAATGGCAAGAGGATGTGGAGTGTTGGAGAGCGAGCATTGGAGAATACAGAGAAGTAATATATACAGGAAGCCACCAGAGATGAATATGATTCTTAAAAGATGTTTCCGTAAATCTTTGTCCTCTACCAATACAGAATAATACAGGATAATAGTGAAGGCAACAGCCTGCACAACCAAGCCCTTCAGACTCTTCAGGAACGGTTACATGAAGCGGAGTCCACTCTTAGGCGGGAGCAAGACAACTACAAGCAGATGCAGGTTAGATAGCTGCTTAATTTTTTCACTGATTGAAGAATTATATAATAATAATAATAATAATAGTAGTAGTAGTAGTAGTAGTAGTTCATCATCATCATCATCATCATCATCATAAGTTGGAAGGGACCTTGAAGGTCATCTAGTCCAACCCCCTGCTCAGGCAGGAAACCCTATACCATTTCGGACAAATGGCTGTCCAGTCTCTTCTTAAAAACTTCCAGTGTTGGAGCATTCACCGCTTCTGGAGGCAGGTTGTTCCACTGGTTAATTGTTCTAACTGTCAGAAAGTTTCTCCTTAGTTCTAGGTTGCTTCTCTCCTTGATTAGTTTCCACCCGTTGCTCCTTGTCCTGCCTTCAGGTGCTTTGGAGAATAGCTTGACTCCCTCTTCTTTATGGCATCTCCTGAGATATTGGAACATGTCCCCCCTCGTCCTTCTCTTCATTAAACTAGACATACCCAATTCCAGCAGCTGTTCCTTATATGCTTTAGCCTCCAGTCCCCTAATCATCTTTGTTGCTCTTCTCTGTACTCTTTCTAGAGTCTCAACATATTTTTACATCGCGGTGACCAAAACTGGATGCAGTATTCCAAGTGTGGCCTTACCAAGGCATTGTAAAGTGGTATTAACACTTCACGTGATCTTGATTCTATCCCTCTGTTAATGCAGCCTAGCACTGTGTTGGCCTTTTTGGCAGCTGCAGCATACTGCTGGCTCAGTATCTCAGTAATAGAGACAGAGACACTTCAGATTTGTTAGATCAACATTGTTTCTGACCAGACTCCTAAGGTCCACCATCCGGATCCAAGTTCACATTATATGTGCATGGAATGAAAGCTCAGATATCTTTGAAATACATTGTGTGCCTGAGTCATGACCTACTTCAAAAGTAGATCCATTCCTGTGCAAATTTCCTAAGCTTCAGTAACCTAGTATTAGATTTAAAATGTGACTGTTGAGACACTTGCTAGTCATATCATCTGGAAGGCTGCTTTTCTGTCAACTGCTCATCCAGCTTTGTGCAATGTGTAAATTTTGCCGAATTTAAGTGAGGTTTGGACTGAGAGTTTCTAGGGCCTTCTCTGATTTCTCTTTTCTCACATAGAGAAAGGTAAATAATGAAACCCTCTCCTCACTTCCCAACTCCACCCTATGCTTTTCCATATAATTGGGCCATACTACAAAGATCAATTCCTGCTGAAGCTCCAAGAGGGCCTTTTGCAGACTACGAACATGTTGTAAACGAGGACAGACCAAATATATCCAGACGCAAAGCAAAATCTCAGTTACATTTGATAGTCATAAGTTTTGGTCTTATTAGTCTTGACCAAGGGTCCTCAAACTTGGCCACTTTAAGACTTGTGGACTTTAACTCCCAGAATTCCCCAGCCAGCACGGCTGGCTAGGGAATTCTGGGAGTTGAAGTCCACAAGTCTTAAAGTGGCCACGTTTGAGGACCCCTGGTCTTGACTAATATTTATTTTCAAATTGTTGGAACAATTAAAAATACAGTTTTAGAGGTCTCATAATTACAGTAGTGACCAAAACTGTGGAAACCTTTTGGGAAAAGTATATTTTTGAGGTTTGATGGCTAATAACACCACTTTTTGGGGGGAGTAGTACCACAAAATTATATATCAATGGAAAGATAATTTAATCAAGAATGTAATGCAACAAAGTTTGTTCGATTATCTGTGCTGTATTCTATGAAAAGTTATAGCCAAATAACCAGAAAAAGGAAGCACAACTTGCTTAGGTTGATATCAGGTAGCTTTCCTTCATCTGATTGTAGCCAATGAGCATGAGTGTTTAGAGAGCCAATCAGGTGTCATCTTGTTTTGGGTTACTCGGTTAGTCTAGTGTCATCCTAAGTCAATAACTACAGTACATAACTTCGACTCTCCTCCTGTAAACAGTCACACAATACACTAGCGATAGTTCAACCAACCCAAAAAAATACAAGAAAGTAAATCACTCGAACATTTTGCATTATTTTAATTTCATTACCACGTTTCTCAACTGACCAACGGGTCTTTCGCTACTAAAATAGTATTATTAAGTGAACAAGGCTACAGTTATAAAGAAATTAGAAGAAAAATTGGTGGAAACTTAACCAAAGGTGGCATTTCTACTGTACACTTTCCTCAAAAGGTTTCCACAATTTTGGCCACTACTGTAAGTTATCCTGGGAAAGGAACAAAATTCATTTATACCCTCATATTCAGGATGTGTCTGCAGTGGGAAATCAGAGTTGAGCCTACTTATCCCATCCTTCATATCAGGGTTCCCCCCCACCCACCCACACACTCACACAAAAGAATGCCTTCCATTCAGATACCTGGATTTCAGTTTTCAAATTTCCCAGCCAATCATTGCTATAGAAGTCTGGAAGTTGACATCCACTCATTTAGATTGGAAAATGTTGTTCCTTGTAGATGGATGGTACTCCAGCAAGTTAGCAGACCTCAAACAGTATATCTTAGACTGCGTATTAATATGAAATCTCAAACATAAGTATTGAGTAAGGGTCAGTCTGGGCAATCTGTTTCCCCTCCTTTCACTGTTCATCCATTCACATCCATTTAGGCTCATAAGCCATTTCAGCTACAGGTGACCCTTAAGTCGCATACTCACGAGGACAGTAAGCAAGAAAAATTAAAGCAATAAATAGTAACATAAACATAAAACAATGTGAATAGTAACAAGTAATAAACTAATAACAGCTGATAATAATAAAAGCTAGGTCCTGTGACATTCCACAGTGGAAAGCTTTTGGGATTAACGTATCTATCACCCCCACTCCCCAGAAGAAGGAAAAGAATCACTGCAAAACTTACTTCCAGTCGTCAGAGATGGCCCAGAAGGATGCCATGATTGATGGTATCAAAAGCAACTGAGAGATCAAATAGGATCATGAGTGTTGTACTTCTTCATCTCAACCCTGCTCCACATCTATGTTAGCTCTAGAATTCTGTGATCAGCCCTACCATTTTATCTTATTCAGCTATTAATTGACAGAGTGACATAAAATATTTTTGCATATATGCATGCACTTACTTACTTATTTATATCCCGCCTCTATTGTTTTTTATAACTCTAGGCAATGAACATACCTAATACTCCTTTCTCCTGTTTTCCCCACAACAACAACCTTGTGAGGTGGATAGAGTTGAGAGAAAGGACTGGCCCAAAGGTCAACCAGCTGGCTTTCATACCCACAGCTGGATTAGAACTCACAATCTCCTGATTTCTAGCCTGGTGTCTTAACCACTAGTCCAAACTCTTCTCTTAATTATTATGATTGTTCATCTACAATAAATTAAAATAACAAATACAAGCATTTATTTATTTATTTTGTACTAAAACCAAACAAAACTTCCTCTGTCAGAATGAATTTGCAACTCGCCTAAGTAAAATGGAAGCTGAACGTCAGAACTTGGCTGAAGCTATAACTGCATCCGAGAGGAAATATGTGGAAGAGAAACGGAAATCAGAGGAATTTCAACAGCAAATTAAAATAGCCAAAGCTAACTTGGAGTCTGCTAAGCAAGAGTTGGTGGACTATAAGCAGAAAGCTACACGCATACTTCAGGTAACGCTCACTACAGTAATCCTGTTCAACAAAGTCCAGGTCCTGACATTGCTAAACAAACAAATGGGGAAGGCTGTCCTGCAGGAACAAACAGGTGCAATTTATTAATAGAATAATAAAATATAAAGCACTTGTTAGGTTTGTCTTTTAGCATGTTTTGAAAGGACTAAAAAATATTAATAGGGATCACTCATCATTGAAAAATCCTTGTTAAAGAAATTTTGCATTTGATATAATTGTATATTCAACTTGAAAAGTTTCAGCAGAATGTTTTTTATTAAATAATGTTTTCAGGGAACTTGATGTCATGTACTTTTTGCTCAGATTTGCCATATATTTTATTTGAAATGGGGAACCCGGGTCCCACTCAAATGGAGTTCAACTCCAATTCCCACCAATTTTATCCCCCGCGAGCAGTAGGAGTGAGTGATGAGAGATTAAAATTCCAATTACTGCTAGAGGTCCATAAATTCCTGACCTTTATATTTAGGCAATTACTGATGTTAGATATGGAAACTTTGTCTTCCAAAGCAAAGTGTTGATGCTGAGCACAAATAGGGTTCCATTATTGTCTTTACAATCTGCCTTTTGGTTACAGTTAACAAATTAAGGATTGTAATGCAATTTCACTTATCCTTAATTTTTGTCCTTGCATCTCAGTCTAAGGAAAAGTTGATAAACAGTCTGAAAGAAGGCTCCGGTATTGAAGGTCTGGATAGTCAAACAGCAAGCATTATGGAGTTAGAGGAACTGAGGCATGAACGGGACATGCAAAAGGAAGAAGTACAGAAGCTGCGGGGCCAAATGCAACAGCTGAGAATTGAACTACAGGATATGGAAGCACAGCAGATAACTGAAGCAGACTCCACAAGAGAGCAAATTCAGGATTTGCAGGATCAGATTGCGACGCACAAAACAGCCAAACAAGAAGTAGAGGCTGAACTGGAGAGGCAGAAACAGGTAAATATTGGGAAGAGTTGAGTGGTATTTCAGGAGCTCTCCTCTTAAATCTCATGAAAAATCAGTATGTATTGATATATTTGGGGGCTCATATATGGGGAAGATATATATATTGGAATTACATAATTAAAAGAAAAGCCATATATGTGTAATGATCGGTATCAACATTGTTTAGTACTCTTACTGATCAAATACTGGATCATGGACCATATGTACCCTACCCTAATCAGTGCTTCTGTGCATCCTTTGACACACACACCCTAACTGAATTTTTTTTTTTTTTTAGTGCAGTGTGCTACACAAAGGATAAATACATCTCTTAGATGAAATGGGATTATTCCTAGAACAGGATTTTATTTTATTTTTTTAAAAGGAAAGCATAAATAAACTTATGGCTTAAGGGGGAGACGGATATAGGATTCTGTTTTAAGTGACAATTTTTCTTAGCATCAGCACAATTTAGAAAGGTAAAAGTTATGGTAAAAGGTAAAAACAATAAAGGTAAAAGTTATGTCAAGTCAACTTCAATCTTGGTGACTTAGATTCATCGGTGTCATTTTCTTTTTTACATCAGTATAGAAACGGTTTGCCTTTTTTTTTTAACTTTCCAGGCTCGATTAGTATTTTTCAGACATGACAGGTTTATGATGTGCAGATTTTAACTCCCATCATTCCCTAGCCAACATTCATTCAACTCCCAGTTCTGGGAATTGAAGTCCAGACATGTTAAAGTCACCAAGTTTGAAAAAAAAACATGGCTATAGATCAGGGGTCTTCAAACTTGGGCCTTTTATGACTTGTGGACTTCAACTCCCAGAATTCCTCAGCCAGCAAAGCTGGCTGAGGAATTCTGGGAGTTGAAATCCACAAGTCATAAAAGGGCCAAGTTTGAAGACCCCTGCTATAGATGGTAGCTCTTGGCTTCTCTGCTAGTCCAATCACATTTCCTTTTTGAGATCGGTAAAGGTCAGCAGGACTTGTCAGTATGACAGTATAATATCCTACAAATGTACAAAATCCTCTTCTGAAGTTTAAATTTGGAAAAATCCACAGCCATATGCTAAACAAATGAAAACATCTATAGTCAGAAACTTCCTCGTGAGCGAGCAAAATTGTTTAGGCAGCTATTTTGATACTTTGTGTTTAGCAGTATTGCCTGATTCTGAATTTTATCTATGTATTTTTGAAACAAACTTGTATCTAACTCAATAGTTGACTGAGTTTAAGAACAATTCTTACTCAAGTATTTCTTCTGTTCATCAAAAGAATTTTGCACATGCCTGGTTAAAAGTTGTCCCTAGGCATCTTTGTATCCAGTCAGCTCAGGATAATGTGCAGATTTGAAATGAGTTATTGTTTATTAAGGATTGTGTTATGGAGCTCTTAAACACACACAACTGCTTATTTGGGCAAACTAAGTCACAAATTTTTCACTTGGGGGCCGCTAATGAAAAGTTAGCTGACAAAAAATGATCTCTAGAAACTGTCACAATGGGATTTCTATACAAATTTCTGTAAATTCTATTTGATTGAAAATAAGTCTCCTTTCTTGTATTCAGTAGATTTTATTGTTATTGTGAACAGTTGCTGTAGATGAAACCATCCAAGGGAAGGTGTTTAATTTGCTTTCCCTGATTGGAGATTACCTGTTTCATAAGAAATTCCATATTAATTGGACAGGGTCGAATTGAACTAATGAAAAAGCAAAAGATCCATGCTTGTTTTCAAAAGATAATATTAATTCTATATCTTGAAGCCATATGGCAGTGTTTTATTATAACTGTTCATGTTTAACCCATTTCAAAATACTTTGAAATGCCCTGAATCTCATCTGTTTTGTTTGTGTTGGCAAACTAGATCTAATTCCCTCGAGTATTCTTGTTTTATTCATCTAGTGGGGCTAAATAATACCTTGGATAGATGATATGAGAATGAATATATCATGCTGAAACAGTGCTAAAATTAAGACCAAGAGGGGTTTGAGACAAAAACAATATTCTGTCTCTGAGGAAACCCCTTGCTTATTTTACAGATTTGTAGGGAGAAGCTGATCTGTAAAAATCAACATGGTTGCAATATTTTTGCCTAGTCCTCACCATTAATGTCATACGGGATTGTCTTTTGTTTACTGTAGATCTGCCATCATTCTTCCTTAAATCTTAGTTTTCTGCAATTATTCAGATTGTATTTCTAATTTTTGAAAGAATGACATACTAAAAGAGTAGCTTTTTTTTTTCCTCCCATGGTTATGTAGAAATGGCTTTACAGTAGTAAATAGGGGTCCTGTTCACTTAGGACAGTGGTTCTCAACCTGTGGAACGGGACCCCATTTGGGGTCGATCAACCATTTCATGGGGGTCGCCAAGCAAGGCTGTCCGCCATTTTCTTTGTCCGCCATTTTTTTTCCCCTTTTCCGGCGGGTGCCTTACCTCCCTTGGGCTGGGCCAGCTGGTGGTCAGCCTGCTCCGTCTCTGCCGCTTGCCAGCTACGCCTCAGCCAGCGCAGGGGGCGGAACCACGCATGCACAGTGCTCCCAGGCAGGGAAAGTCCTCGACTTACGACCGGTTGGGTAGTCCTCGACTTACGACCAGTTTAGTCCTCGACTTACGACCGGTTTAGTCCTCGACTTACGACCGGTTGGGGTCGCGGCATTAAAAAGGTTGAGAACCACTGACTTAGGAGCACCGGGTTTTTGTTCATTTTTACAAATGTAATTACTTTGTGTCTTCCATTCTATTCTGGAAGAGCAAAAGAGACAAAAAATTGTTTCCTGGTCTATCTAAATCAGTGTTTCTCAACCTTGACAATTTTAAGGCATGTGGACTTCAACTCCCAGAATTCCACACCCAGCATTGTTGGCTGTGGAATTCTGGGATTGAAGTCCACATGCCTTAAAATTGTCAAGGTTAACACTGATCTAAATAGAAGTGCTGTCTGTTAAGTCAACTGAAAATGTGGCTTTTCATTTGATGAACTCAAACTTAGAGCATCATTAGTCACTCTGGCTAGGATGACAGAAATTGCAGTTCAACATCCACACTTCTCTTATCCCTTCGCTAAGTCAAAGCCACTATAGCATACAATCTCATCACTGGAATACAAGAATTATGGCCATACCTTGTGCTGGTGATTAGGTAGGCCACCACTGATTGTGCCCCATTTTTGTGGCGATTGTTAAGGAATCACCATAGTTATTAAATGAATCCATTGTCTCCAATGGGTGCCTTTTCCCAGAAGCCAGAAATAAATGCTGGTTTCCTGTAAAAAAAACATCGTAAGTTGCAATTATGTGAAACACTGCAAATAGCAATAAATGCTGAGCATTCCAAATGTAACCACATGACTGCAAGCGGACACCGTCAGAACTTCAAACCTGAGTCATAAGTGGTCCTGGGGAGATCTGTCATAAAATTCAAAAGATTGCTAATCGACCTGTTGTAAGTTGAGGACTACCTATAAAATTCTGAATGTTTCCTTATTGTCACAGAGATCACTAGTCTTATAATACTGTTATGGAAGAAATACAATTAGTCCTCAATTTACATCAGTTCATTTAGTAACCATTCAAAGTTGATAACAACACTGAAGAAAGGGACTTGTGACCGTTTTTTGCACGACTGTTGCAGCATCCCCATGGTCACATGATCAAAATTCAGACACTTGGCAACTGACTCACATTTATGACGGTTGCAATGTCCCTGGGTCATGTGATCATCTTTTGTGACCTTACAAGCAAAATCAATGGGAAAGCCAGATTTGCGTTACTAAACAACTGCAGTGATTCACTTGACAATTGTGGCAAGAAAGGTCACAAAACGGAGCAACATTCACTTAGCAACTGCCTTGCTTAGCAACAGAAATGTTGGGTTCAGTTGTCATAAGTCGAGGACTACCTGTAGAAACAAAGCCAAGGAATATCTGTATACCAGTGATGGCGAACCTTTTAGAGACCGAGTGCCCAAACTGCAACCCAAAACCCACTTATGCATCGTCGGGTACCGGGTGGGTGTGGCCCATTGGCTGGGTGTCGCCAATTGGGGGGGTGGCCCATTGGGTGGACATGGCTGCGGTGGTAACGGCAGACTGGGTGGGACTAAAAAGTTCAATCAATCCCAACTTTGCAAGATCTTTTTTTTTCCCGCGAGAAGTTGAAATTGGCTGATTGATTGAACTTTTTTTTTCTTGCACACGGCAGCGGAGGCCTAAAGCGAAAAGGTTTTATAAAACCCAGCTGAAGGCCTAGGACTGGGGCGACGGTGCGCGTGCCCACAGAGAGGGCTCTGAGTGCTGCCTCTGGCACCTGTGCCATAGGTTCACCACCACTGCTATATACTTTCAACTTTTTACATTTCAGATATATGTTGAAACTGATCCACACTAATAATATCACTTTTTGCAATTTGTTGTCTGTATCTAGGAATTTCTAAATGTTCATTATGATCTTAATATAGAGTTTCTCTGCTTCAGCAATGCCTTTTCAATTGCAGACAAGAAAGTAAGTTTCTAGTTGTAAACACAATAGGTCACGGTAGTACCATCATGTTTTGCTGTATCATGACGTTTAATATATTAATTGCTGCTGGATGTGCTACTTTTCCAGGAACTCCGCTATACTGAGGAAGAACTGTATAGGACGAAGAATTCTCTGCAAAGCCGAATAACAGATAGAGAGGAGGAGATCCAGAAACTAAGAAATCAGGTAATGGGTTAGCTTAATTTTGTAATCAACATACATTTCTGAACAACCAAAGTTTTTGACCGTGCCCCGTAGCATCGTACCAGCTAACCCTTAAGTGAGATTGGTTCACCTTTTAAAAATTATTATATTTATCTTTTCTTAATAAAAAATAATCAGTGAAAGAAAAATCTTAAAATAAGGTTACAGTCAGTCAAATGGCAATTTATTTCAAAGTTATGCTGTCTCAGGGAGATCATTCTTTGGAGGCAAAGCTAAATGGAATATATGTCCAACGTTTGGATTTATGCTTCTGGATTGACATGTTTTAACAACAACAAATGAATGTGTTCCCCTCTCTTTCTTCTGCTAAGTCTGGTCTCTCATATTTAGGGTGGTGGTGGTGGAAATGCTGGGTAGAGCATGCTGTGTGGAATCTGCTCACCTTTAGGCAGCCCCATGCCTCTTCTCTGTGGCAGGTTTTTTTCCAAAAATGGAAAGGGTTAGGGGATGAAACCCTGTCAAATTCTACTGCCTAAGAGCATTTTGTGCCTGTTTGGTAGCAAGTCCTGATCCTTCCCCCACTCCCAGCTTTTCCGAGGGAAAGAATGCCGGGCTGTGTGCTTCACCCTAAACCAAGAGCGTAGTAGAGCAAAATGCAAGTAAAAGCGTTTAGTTCAATCTGCACTCATCCCAGTGAAGGTGCTTACTCTTTCCCTCTTCCAATGGTACTTTGTTCACTCCGCAGCTAACGAACAAAACATTGAGCAGCAGTAGTCAAACAGAGTTAGAAAATCGGCTGCATCAGTTGACAGAGACGCTAATTCAGAAACAAACCATGCTGGAGAATCTCAGCACAGAAAAAAATGCTTTAGTCTATCAACTGGAACGACTGGAGCAGCAGCTGAAAACCGTCCAGGGAGCTTCAGCAAATGGCTCCTCCATTAATATGGCAGGAATTGACCACAGTGAAGGTAAAATGAGGAATGAATTGTTGAATGTATATCCCATATAAACTGGGAAGCTTAACACAGTGTTCCTCAACCTTGTCAAGTTTAAGATAGGAGGACTTCAACTCCCAGAATTCCCCAGCCAGCACTATTGCAACTGGCTGGGGAATTCTGGCAGTTGGAAGTCCACCCATCTTAAACTTGACAAGGTTGAGAAATACTGACTTAACACATTATGTTGATGCTTCTGCCATGACACCAATCAGTCCTTCCAATCGACCCTCCTCTGTTCTTTTCCTCTATTCATAGTTTCCATTTTTCTTTCTTTCTTTCTTTCTTTCTTTCTTTCTTTCTTTCTTTCTTTCTTTCTTTCTTTCTTTCTTTCTTTCAACAGCCTCTGTGCTCTCAGTTTTTGCCTGGTTTCCCTTCCCTTTTCCCTTCTGCCTTCCCAATATTTTTTTTTCATTTAGTTATCGTCCCTTGTGGATATAGATGAGCCATTTTTTTATATAAGAAAAGCTGCCCAGAATCACCTTATAGGGGAGATGGGGGCGGCATAAAAATTTAATGAATAAAATGAAACAAATAAGAGAAGCAAGGAAATCAACATCTGAAAACCTGCGAAACAGAGACAGTGTTGATCTCCATGTTACAAAACATGTTACAAAATTACTATTTACCTCAAATGGCTTTATTTTATAGTACTGAGAGAGCTTTTCCAAAAGATTTCTGCTATTACTTGATTCTTAATAGGCCACTGTAATTCTGGCAATAGCTTTGCAACCTGGGTTCTGCTGGGAGGATGGTTTCAGACATAGATTGCCTGCCCTATAGATTATTTCAGTAAAATAAAATTGAAATGAATGCAAAATCCTCAGATATTCACCCAAGGTCCTTTTAAATATGTCTGAAATTTCCATTCTGTCAAAGCAGTCGTGATAAAATACAAGCATTATAAAATCACACATCTAAAATTGGCCTCTTTCTACTTTGCTTTTTCATAATATCGTCAAACCTTATATATATCATGAATATTTATTGCAGCTTATAAATAGTTTTTACTGCCGCTAATTGCTTTTTAAATTATTATTATTATTATTATTTATTCCTCTAGGCACTCGCATGCGAAATGTTCCTGTCCTTTTTGCTGACAAGCTACACTTACGCCGTCCTTACATACCGTTCCAAGCGTTTCGACGTTCATGATATCTGGTCAAGTCCACTCCTCTTCCGTCTCTTATCTTTCTAACGAACCTTCTTCGTTAAGACAGGTACTTCTTCTGGTAGATTTCGTCCCCATCAGTTGGAACCGAGAAAATACTGAGCACCTGAAGTTGAGGGTCTTAAGGACTGCCAGCTATGCTGGCTCAGGAATTCTGGGAGTTGAAGTCCACGAGTCATAAAAGAGTCAAGGTTGACTACCCCTGGTCTAAAGCAGTGGTGGCGAACCTATGGCATGGGTGCCAGAGGCGGCACTCAGAGCCCTCTCTGTGGGCACGCGCACCGTCGCCCCAGTCCTAGACCTTCAGCTGGGTTTTATAAAACCTTTTCACTTTAGGCCTCTGCCGCCGTGTGGAAAAAAATAAAAGTTCAATCAGCCAATTTCAACTTCTCGTGGGAAAAAAAAAGATCTTGCAAAGTTGGAATTGATTGATTGAACTTTTTAGTCCCACCCAGTCTGCCGTTACCACTGCAGCCACGCCCACCCAATGGGCCACGCCCACCCGGCACTCGACAATGCATAAGTGGGTTTTGGGTTGCAGTTTGGGCACTCAGTCTCTAAAAGGTTCGCCATCACTGGTCTAAAGAAATCTTGATATTGCGATGGATATCTTGATTAAAATGTTGAACCAATATCTGCAGAGGTCTTGTGAAAAATCTGAATGATTGGGATGTTTGAATTATCATTAAAACTTGCAATCTGATAGTGTCTTTATGCAAATCTATAATGCAACATATATGCTAGAGTATTTTCTAATATTTTTTATCCTAATTGGTTAACAGCATTCGACTTGGAATCTTTCTGCGCCGATATCCCATTGCAAGGGTATTTGTAATCATTTACATGGTGAGTCTTCTTCATGTACTCATAATGTAACATATACAATTTTCGTTATATACTATTTCATCTTGATCTGATATGCAGTGAATGAAATATACAAAACAGGTGAGGTGTAATTAATCGTAACCGTTCGGTATAAATATAAGTGACATAAAAGCCAGCTGGTCCCACTCACTTCAAAGGGTTTGTTGTTGTGGGGAAAATAGGAGGAGGAAGGTGTGGTGGATATGTTTGCTGCCTTGAGTTATTTGTACAAATAATAAGGGTGGGATAAAAATAAACAAGAATTTACACCATTTGCTTCTTGTAATTGTGCAGCAGGATGGGCCTAATGCAAGTTTACCTTTTAAAGAAGATTTTGTATTTTTGTGTCTTTTTTTCACTTCACTATCATTTCAAGCGATAAAGTCTTTAAAATTCCGTAGCTCATTATTCCAAAGGTGCTTTTTCAAAAGGCAACTGGACTTTGTTTGTCGTTGAAGACGTTTCACTTCTTATCCAAGAAGCTTCTTTAGTTTTGAACATAACTGAAAAAGCTTCTTGGATAAGAAGTGAAACGTCTTCAGCAAAAAACAAAGTCCAGTTGCCTTTTGAAAAAGCACTTGTGGGACAACCATGATCTGGATGAATGAGAATCTCCATAGTTCATTACTTTTAAAGGCTAACTGGTGGCAGTCATGGTTACTGTATATATTTAGTCTTGCTTGTGAAAGAGCAATGCAGGCAGTCCTCTCCTTACAAACAGGTTACATTCCATGAGGCTGTTCATTCAACTATAAAAAAACATGCACAATTTTTACCTTAGCCACCACACAAAGGAAGAATGCTGCAAACTAAATACCGCAAGACCAGCGAACAGATAGGAGGGGGCAACATCCAGTGGCGTCTCAAGTAACGATGGTGCTGCCAAACGTACATAATGCGGCAGACAGTAAATTCACTCTTTCCTGCTTTCTTCTGCCTTCTGGGACATTCTAGGTTGGAGTTGCAGACAGGTTTGTTTGTAACAGCGAATGTTTGCAACTCGAAAGTTCAGAAGTAGATGACTTCTATCCAGGGAGGTTTCAGCACACAGGTTGTGGGTCATTTGGCTCTCCTGGTGAGTGAGGGCAGCACAGCAGGAAAAGGGGCGTTACAATGAAGGGCAGCAGACAGCATTTGGGATAGTGATTCATATTTAGGTCCTTGTTAAATGTAAAGCTTTTTGCTTTATTCTTAACCTGTTTCCGAGCATATGTCAACACACAAAAGAGCTAGAGCTTACATCATGATGCCACTTCTACCATTCTGACTGTTTTGAACACCACTCGTCCCTGCTGATGCCTTTGGTTCTTGTATAAAAAAAGCTAAAGTTAATCTCAAATCCAATACAATTCCTGATACATGGATACTTCTGTGCAGTTTTGTTGACCTGAAATGGAAATTGTTTGCCATTGCCTTCTTAAATAATATTTATTTGGCTTCCCAATCTAGTCTGCAGTGTAGCTATGGATTTCTCAGATGGTTCTCCATTCAAGTAGTAGCCAGGGGTTGACCCTCTTAGTTCTCTAATTCAGTCAAAGTTAGCTTTCTAGATCAGTCATATTGCTTGCATCCAATAAACTGTTTACTTTATTTTGATTTAAAGTACCATGCATTGTTCCTATTTTTCTTTTGTCAGGTCCTGCTTCATCTTTGGGTCATGATTGTTCTACTTACATACACACCAGAAATGCATCATGATAATCCAAGTGGGAAGTAGACCAGTCTGGAAGAGACTCGTTTATGCAATATACACTGAATTTGAAAAAGAATCCAATAAAGACTCTTTGAAGAGAAAAGCTTTTGTCAATATTTGAACAACCATTACATCTTTTCTTTGGCTGCTTCAGCAAAATTAAATAACACAAGGGGTCTAAGCTTAGTACCTGTAAAAACAAGCAACTTCTTCGGGAAAAGCTACTAAGTGAACTGCTACTGCCATCTTTCTTCATCCCTCTTTTTTGTGGTACACTCATGTCAAGCATAGAAACCTGGTTTGTGGTACACTCATATATGCATAGAAACCTGGTTTTAAGACTATAGATGTATATGTAACATAATGTATTTTTGATTCTACAGGGCTATCGTCCAAAAAATAAATGTACTTAAAAGCTGAGAAGATTTTATTCTTTTTTTCCCTTTAGTGCACCTTTTAACTTTGTAAATGTTATAAATTAGCTTAAAGTGTTCCATATATTATGGATTTGACAGCTGCTTTGCAGAATGCTTTTCTTTAAAAAACTTTAATGAAGAGAAGAGAGATGATGCAGTTCTTAAAATATGGTCCTTCAGCATATCAGAAATTTATTTTCCATAGTA